GCCTGTGGTCCCAGCTACTTGGGAGGCGGAGGCAGGAGTCTCGCTTGAGCCCAGGAGTTGGAGGTTGCTGGGAGCTGTGATGCCACAACACTCTACCCATGGTGACAGCTTGAGCTCTGTCTCAGAAAAAAAAAAAAAAATACCAGTAGTAGTACCTTCCAGAATGAAGACAGAGTAGACACAGTACAAAAGCCCTGAAAATCAGCTTTGTTGGGTTTAAGGAAGAGTAGAATGGCCAGTGTGGATGGAGCAGATTGAGGAGCGGTGATAAAATTAACAAAGGAGATCGGGCCCAATCCCATTAGACTTGAAAGGCTGCAGTAAGAAATGTGCAGTTTTTGGATAACTTTTAGGAGGTTTTTAGCTGACCTGTGATCTAACTTAGGCTATTGGGAACAGAATGGCAAGTGCACGCATGGTTATTGGGGGGTGGACAGTATTGCCACTGATAGTAATGACTCAACTTTTTTTTCATTGTAAGGAAGAAATGGCAGTGCTCCAAGGTCCAGAGACATGCCCAAGACCACCCAAGAGAAAGCTATGGTAGAAATCTGAGTTTGGGGATTGTGTGATTCTAGTTTCACTGCTTTCATAATTCTCTCATTACCTGCATGTGAGCCTAGACCTCAAGTCCTTAATTATTTTTAGAAGGGCAGGGTTGGGGAGTGGTTTAAAAGAGATGAGACACAGAATAATCTTTCCACAGCCTCCCTCTGTCTAGGCTGGGCCTATCCAGCGCTTTTATGAGAATTTATGAATTGTTTTTCTTCTTGTTTCCTTGTTTTATCAATATGTATGTCCTTACCAAGAAAAGAAGAAAAAATAGCAATAATCCTTTAGTCCATAGACTCCTAAGAAATTATGATTCTAAAAGAAACCTGGGCTTCCCCTATGGAGCCCCTTGACACCCTTAGCGATCTCTGCTGGAGCCCCCTGGGTAGTCAATCCTCAGACAGCCCTGGAGGCCCTGCCAGTGTGAGCTCTGATGCTCACAGTAACAATCCACTTGATGAAAACAATCCTTAAGAGTAGCCTGAGCCCCAGGGATCAATTGGCCTGGGGTCTAATCCATCTCTGTCTGCAGCTGCTCCTTCAAGAGGGAAGTTTTTCCTTTTCCTTTCTTTTACTCATTCGTCAGTTTCTTAAGGCTGGTTGGCATCCTCTGGCTGCTTTAACTGGACCTTGAGCTTCTTCATGCCAATTTGAAAGCCACTCACGGCCCCAACAGTAGTCTGGGTACTAGTTGGATTGTACCCAGTGTACTTGAAACACTTGCTCTGGTTGGTGGCTTGATCCAGAAAGACTTTGGCAAAGACAACAGCTCCAAAGGACAGAAATGTTTGTCTGAGTTCTGTCACCAAATTCCTGAGGCAGATGATAGATGAAGAAGTTACAGTCTTCAAGGCCTTCTCTTTGCTGTTGGGGAAAAGCGGTGCTCACTAGGGCATAAGCCAACAGATAGGCCTGTTTCAGGGGGATCAGCCACGCTGGGGCTCTGGGCAGGTAAGGGGAGAGTCCATTATTATAGAGCATGTCAGAGCCTGGTTGCCCATGAGACTGAGGGATCAGGGCCCAAATCCATTGTTCAATGGACACCGGAAGACCTAGGGCCACTGCTGGCCAGGCAATGACTCAAGTTTGAATAAATGGTAGTGACGGGTACTAAAACGAAGACCAGAGATCAGAGGGTGGTTATTAAAAAA